CAGAATGGTTGAAATATTAATGAAAATTTGAAGAAAACAAAGTATGGATGTGGGTGTGATTATGGGTGAGGATGAGGATGTGGATGTGGATGTGTGATGGTTTTGGTATATGAGAGTGTGGGTGTAGGCGTTATTTCAATCTGATATTCCCGTTTCCTACACCCACACCCATCCACGCACCCATGCCCATCTACATCGACCCACTCACGTTTACACCCACAACCACGTGTATAATTCATACATATTCACCTGACAACAGATGAGCTGTGGGTTCTCGAAGTGAAAAGAATCGACTTTGTAAACAAGAAAATAAAGTAAAGATTTACATTATAAGTGAGAGGAAATTATTTTTTCTTTTGCATTCGCATTTCTTCCATTCGTTCTTCGAATATTGCTTTAAAATTACTTGCAGTGTCCTTCGCTTCGCACAGTGAGACAGAACATATTATTTGTTGACAATCAGTGGAAAAAAACGTATGTATGATTATTTACGCTTACGAAGAAACGAAATTACTTTGTCGCACTATAAAAAGACTTAAAACATACGTGTATTGATTGCATACACATTTCTACAAGATGAGTGAAAATCAAATAAGTGACATTGCATCGTCGGACTATGAATATAAGACCAAATATATGAAACGAATTATGAAAGCATTGAAGGAAGTTACAAATGAAATGTCTTCGAATGCGAAGGGGTCAATCATTACACCCACTAAATTATTCGAAAATCTAGTATGTAAATTTCAACAATTACAAAAGAGTGATGCCGACGCTCGAGATCGTTATCGTCAAGGAATAGTATTATGCAATGAATTGATCGATTCTATTGCGACAGCTACTATTGGTGACGCAGATGCTTATCGAATTTGTCTGGAACTGTTTTCAAAAGTGATAGAAGAATTTCGATTTGGAATTATTACGAATGATGAGAAGCTGTTAGAACGCGAAATTTTCTTTGCATTTCTTGACCTGCTCTCTAAACGAGAAATCTGTACGTACTTGAATGATGATCAATGTACAACAATGCCGCAAAAAGAGTTTTATAAATTCTTAACTAATGTACTTTTGGCTATTTCTAATTCAAACATTAAATGCGTTTGTTTGACCACCGATGATGCTGCCACTCGCAAATATACTGACACATTTTATACTATGTGGAAGCGGGTGGAACGCAATGTGCATTTCACCAATCAAACGGAACAAAAACTACCTGTCATAGATTCGACAACAAATTATATTCGTCATTTTTTCTGGAACTTTTCTAATCGTACAGTTGTTGTGCCATGGTTGCTGGATAATGGCGTGGTGAAAATTATTTTAGAATGTTTGAAAACAATACCACTATCATCAGAAAAAGGTATAGATATTACCTCCATCATTCTTAATATATCTCGACACGATGATGGTGTTGATGAACTCAACAAATTCGATGGTCTTCGTATCCTTAAGGATATTCAAAGTAACAACACAGAAGAGTTGGATGATTCCAAGAATCTTATTATTTCGATGGCCATTGCTCATCTCTCTACAGTCGAACAGATTCGTTCAGATAATAAACGAAAGAATAGAATTCTTAATGAATTATTACAAGTGACTATTAATGCTGCCAAAGTAAGTTTGGGTTTCGTACATATCTATTTGAAACTTTCGATGCTTATAAACAGTGAAAATATAATTTTTTATTATTTAGATGGAAGATCGTCTCAAGTATCGTGGCTTCCATGTATCTGAGCCCTTAGCTGTGTTCACCAAACTGTTTGTCGACGATCTTTCGCTTGAATATGTCTTGAATCATGCAGAAACTGATCCACAACTGACACTATCAGACACAATTGCTTTATTCATCAACTTGTTCATCGAATTTTGCGGTGCATTTGCAGTAGAAGATCCGCTGAAACAATTCACATGCACAGCTTTACTAAACATTCTATGGAGTATTTCGTTTCAAGATCGGTATAAAGCAAAACTGAAACAAAATAATAAAGATCTATTGGAGACTATCAAAAGTTTAGCTATGGACAATGATGAGAAAATAGTCGATCGGTATGTTCCACGTTCGATGGAAGGTATGAGAAATGCTGCTAATGGTATTCTTTACAATCTGAATGTGATATCCGATAATAAGAAAGATGCCAAGTCAGACATACCAATAGTTTCGAATACGGACAACGGAAAACCGATGATTATGATCAGTTATGCTCATGATAACGACCAATTTTGTGATAAAATTCTTATGGAATTAGAAAAAAGTCAAGATCTTTTTGGGATCTGGATTGATCGTAATCATTGCTCATCGAGTGAAGATTTATGGGAAAAAATTGCTCGTGGTATTGGACAAGCGAAACTTGTAGTATGTCTTCTTTCCCAAGATTATTTCAATAGTAAATCATGTCGAAAAGAAGCATCCTTTGCTATCAAACGCAAAAAACCAATTGTTCCTATCTATTTTGGTGAACCTGGTGATTGTGATTGGCTTGGTATGTTATTTCATATTCGAAATTTTTTATATCCCTAGGTCAAAAAAACCATCTTGAGAGTGTAAGTAATTAAGATAGAAATCAAACACACTCCTATTATAGGATCTGAACGGATTTCGATAGGAATCGACTATCGGAATGATCGATCAGGGCTCGAGATGAAGTCTGTTAGTTATATATTGATCTTCTTTAAGAGACTGTTTTTTCGATTTTTTCACTTAATAACATAGCAAATCATTGTTTGTAGACATTCACATTGCTGATCGCAAATATATTCGTTTCAAAAGCAATAAATCTGAACTGGATGATGCTAAAGTTCAAGAAATGCTAAGAACGATCGAAGCTACTATTAAAGAAGCACAAGAGCAATCTTCACACCCACAACAAATAGAACAACATAGTGTACCTGCACAACCTCGAAAAGAAATAGAAGAAATCCAATCAACAACTATCGATGTAAAAAAAACACCCGAAGAGTGGACTCGAAATGATATTCAGAAATGGTTTTATAGCCATAATGTACCTGATACACTTTTGAAACTATTTGATTTTCAGTCATTTGCGGAAATGAATCAATATGCTTCGAAACTACAAGCAAATCCTAAAAATGAATTTTTAAAATATGGTCAGCGTTATGCAAAAGCTCATGCAGGTGATGAACTTGAAGAATATATTTTCGATCGATTTAAAAACGCTCTCCTCGAGTTACCCGTCAATCGATCGGACACAATGAAACTATCGACGCCATCTTCGAAACCATCATCATCTAACTCAAGTACATGTACTATTTCATGAATTCAGCTTCAACACATATACTTCAAATATATAAAACTAATCGTAGTACATTTAGTTTGTGCGTGATTATCAATATTCTTTTCTTTACAATAATAAATATCATTAATGATCATAATATGACTAAAGCAATATTGAGAGTGTAGGTGTGCTCTATGAATAAGGTGATACCTACATCCACACCCTCAAGATATATATCAATGTTAAGATTATTAGAAAACGAAAACACAATTCGTTTATTTTATTATAAACATTTATCTATCTTTAACAATTAAAACAATCAACTTTTTTTCTTAAGTTGAATAACATCTTTACGCATATTATTGGTTTTTATTGAAAGATGTTTCTTTTTCTTATTTTGTTTTTGTTTTTTTAATATAAGTGCTGGTCGTTTTCCAACTCGACCTTGTTGTACACCATCAGTATCATTTGACGGCATTGATTTTTTCTTATGAGATTTTTTATTTGGTGGTCGATATCGTTTTGGCGGAATATTCTGTTTGACAGGCTAAATAAAAACCATAATATAAAAATGATATTCTAACCATAGACTTACTTTAGCTTTTTTAACAGCAGTTTTAATACGTATTTGTCTATTTCCAACTTGACAATTTCCATTCATTCTCAATGCTAATGAAACTGATGCTTCATCCTAAAATAATCAATTATAAAATTTAATATTCAGCTTTTTATTCAATACTTTAAATAGAACATATCCAAATCCTTTACCAACACTTGTTGCACGATCACGTACAAGACGAACATCTAAATGAATAAATCTCGATATTAATAATAATTATCAAATAAATTCATACTATCGATTTCACCACATTCTTCAAATGCTTTCCAAACATCATCATCATTAGCATCAAAAGGAAGATTACCAATAAAAATACTTCGTTTATTATCATGCTATTTAAATCAAGATGAAACTAATTACATATATGTATATTTATTCAATTACTTTAGCATCTTCATTTTGGTCTTGTGCCATGTCAACACGTAAATGATGTTCTTTATATAGATAACCATTTCTAGAATAAGAAATATCTTTTATTTTCAAATAGTTAGAATTAAATTATTCTTTTTAATATATAAATATACTTACAAAGCAGTTGCTTCTTCTGCTTCAATTTCATCAGAAAACCGAATAAAAGCAGTTATTGTTCTTTGTAATGGATGAAATTCTTTTTTAATAAATGCAAGACGTTTACCACGTTTTGCATTTAACGGAATCTAAATAAATTTGAATTTATTAAAAAATAATTCTAAATAAAAATAATATTACAATATTTCGTAATCGAACTGATTCGATGGTACCAAATTGTGAAAACAATGCTCTAAGTTCCTAATTCAATAAATAAATGATTATAATCAATTGAAATTTAAATATTTTGTCAATACTTTTTGAGTACATGCACTTGGAACATTACCAACAAAAATTGTTCGAGCATTAGCAATAGATGGATCTTCATATTCACGTTCCAATCTATATAAAAATTTAGAATAAATATATTTTTTCTTCTAATATATAAATAATAAATCATACTTGGCTTTCTCTTTTGCTGCTTCGATTACTTCTTCTTCTTCTTCAGTTTCATGTTCAGATTCTTCTTTGAGTGGTACACTGACATATGTGATTTTTCTTGCATTATTAAATAAATCTGTTAAATTCGAAGTCATCTATAAATACTCGAACTTCAAAATGAATTCAATTGATTTTATATAAATGTCTCTCAGATGGCCCCTGACAGCTGACTGTCTTCACAGATATAGAATCGAGCTGATGTTAAACATCGTGTCAATCATCATAGAGACAAATTATAATCAATGATTAATTCAAGAAAAATCATATTCATTTAACGAATTTATTTGTTTAAAATTAAATAGAATATTAAAATAATAATTAACGATAAAATCTAATACCTGTTCCTTGTTATAATTATTAATGAGCGATAAAACGAACAACAGAATAAAGCAAAAAATGGCCGAATGTATATATATTTAAGTATCATGAAGTTGAAAGCAAAAAAATTAAATAATATCACATATCAAGAGATTCCACTGTGTAAGTAACATATCTGTCTTTATTTTATCTATTTGGTTTAAACTGCTCCAAGATTTGTTGCCTTTGGAAGAAGACCAGAATTACGTGGATATTTAAAAAAAAGAGATACTTGAATAAAACCTAATATAGCACCAAGAAAATTTGGAACCTAAAATACATTTTGTACTATATTTTTCTTGTATAAAAAATTTAAAAAAAATATACTTGAACAAATTTATCACTAATTAAAATACCATACAGAACCCATTCAGCTGGTACAACAAGATTTGCAAAGCATAATGGTAATGAAAGTGATTCAGTACTTTGCTTTTGTATAACTTCTTGCTAAAAATAAAGATTCTTTTTAATTTAATAGAAGAACTGTTTCGATGTTATACATACGAGTGAAACTAATGGTGAACCATACATAATCACAGTAACAACGGATGCAACAAGGCCAGCATGAAGAATAGCCGTACTACGATCAGATACAATATATAATAAATAAAATGAAATTGCTGCAAGAAATGCAAGTGCCATTCCAATTAAACGTAAATATGAATTCTACATATAAGACAAAATTTGTTTTTAAAAAATTCATTCGATTTAATTTACTCGATCGGGTGTATATTGAAGATAAACTAATGCATATACGAATTCTAATGATGCTCCAATAAAATTAACAATCATAATTGTTGAATTATTTGCTGAATAACCATATAAAAACCATAGAGTACAACTAATTAATTTAATAAGAAGAAATTATTGATAAAATTCTTTTGTTATACGTACTTAACCATTGTTGCAACAAATGGAAAACCTGATATGTCACCTGTTGTACGCATACGATAAATTCGATTACATATTTGTCTATAGAATAGAAAAATGCAACTATATATATACATAAACAAAAAATTCTAATCTTACACTCCAGTTAAAAATAAACCAATTGTACTTATCGTACATATTTTTTCAATTATTGGTGTTAAATCATCTTTGTTACTCGTCATTGTTGAGATTTTTTCTTATAAATAAAAAGCGAATATTTCTAGAAGGACAAAAAAGAAGATGACTTTTTCTTTCTTTTTATATATTTGTTTTCATTTTCATGCATAGATACATAATAGACAATAATTAAAGATTTTTTAAATGATAGTTGAAATTAATACACATACAAAAGAAGAAGAAGAAGAAGAAAAAGAAGAACAGAATTTACAAAAATGAAATATTCTTGAATATATAAAAATTATAGTTTATAGTTGAATAATTATTTATGTTTTTAATCAGTTTTTAACCAAATGTATTTTCACCACCATAGGCAATATATAGAAAACTATCTTCATCTTTATTTTCAGCATAAATTTCACCCATTGTTGCACTAAAATAAACATTTTTGTTTTTTTATAAATTAGATTTTCTACTTTATTTTTATTACCTTGATAATGGAATTGTTTTATTAACAAAAAGAAAAATAGCTTTTTCTGGTGCTAATTGTATTCGTTTACGAATAATCCACATAAATTGTGCAACTGTTATATCATTGGGAACTAAAAATTTACGTTTATCGATTTCAGGTATTTGAGATTTCGGTACACGTTCAACTACAACCTAAAATGAATGCAATTTTTTCGTATTAAAAAAATATGATAAAATAAATTTTATATTACCGGAATTCGTTCAGGATATTTAACACGAATTTTCTCAGCTTCTTGTTTACGTTGATCTATTAAATATATATATATTTAATTATATAATATTAATGTATAAATGAAATTATTTACCAAGGGGAGTTTCTTCTTTGAATCGAAATTTCATTTTTATTTAATAGTATAAATATTTAATGAAAAACAGTTTGTTGCTTATGTATATATATTACGCAAATGAAAATAATCTCGATCTAGAACAGAAATTACCAATGAATCATGATGATTGATGAATAATAGTTAAAACGAAAATATTGATATTTTTTTTCCTTCTTCTTTAAAATCTTATTTGTACTTAATAAACAAAGTTGAAAGAGGAAGAAAAACAAACGAATGAAAAATCACATGATAAATATAGACTGACTAGCCTTTCTTAAAATAAGAGTAACTTAATGTAACAGCTGATAATAGAAGTCATCTTTAAAGGAAAAAAATC